GTGTGTGTGTGTGTGTGTGTGTGTGTGTGTGTGTGTGTGTAAAATCCACAACCAAGTATTGTGGTAGCTAATGGACCCCCACCCCCAATGGCATGTTCCATGGATGATAACTTTGGGTCCAAAGATGTATCCAAAGATTATTAATTTCCTTAATGGCAGAACCCTGTGGAAAAGTAGTTTAACCACTTTAGCATGCTGCTCATGACCTGTGTTACATCATGATGGATTCAGATAGCCAGCTCAAGGTTGACTCAGCTTTCCGTCGTTCCAAGGTGGGTAAAATGAGTACCAAGCCCACTGGGGGGCAAAGTTGTTGTTTGCATTATCACAGAATTGCATAATTATTAGTCAAAACAGCAACACCCCAAACTGTTTTGCTACATGAGGCAGAACAACCCCTGTGCTCTCTGGAATCAATGTATGCTGAGCTTAATAGCAGGGAGTTCTGTCAGCACGAGACAGAAAGTCCCGCAACTATTTCTCCTTATCCCTAAGGAGAGAATATAAGAAACATAATAAAACCCAGCATTTGTGGCCGGCATAATTACCTATCCTTTTTGTAATGGCCTGAAAAATAACGAAGTAAGGAACTAATAATTTTCTACCCTTTAATGACACCCAATACCTGCTGATTGAGGTGGTAGCCTCACTCTGTCTAAATGCTTGCCCTATGCTCACTCTGTCTAAATGCCTGCCCTATGGAATATCAGTCTGGAGCTGGTGTATCTCACATTTAAACACCACCCCCTCCACCAAGACACCTTCTCTTCTACTAGCAAGAGCCAGTATAGTCTGAAAGGCAGCCATAGACATGCCATTCTGATCCTGCTCCCTTATAGCCTGTAAGATGCTCTGCCCCAAGCTTAGTCCAGCCCCACTAAAATAAAGGTACAGGTATTCTTCAATGCTGCTGAAATGAGCCAGATTTATATTCAAACTGCTCTGGGACCTACTTTAAAACATTTTAAGTTATTAGTTGATAATGCAGCATCTGAAAACAGTGCTATTGTGTTGTGTTGTGTGTGTTTTAGAGAACCTTACACAACTTCCACTAATAAAAAAACACCCTAATTTATCCTGATTTTCACCGAAAGATAATGAGTCAAGAAAGGCAAAGAGAAAGTGAAAAAGAAAGAGAGAAAGAGAGAGATGCATTTTGAGACACAAAAGGTGATTATTTCTAAGGTGACAATGTGCCACACATTCACTTGCCTCTGTCTCTGTCAGGGGAATATGTTATTGTTGCTGTGGAGGAGGAGAGGCGTTTATTGATAGGTGACTCCATTTGCTTTGGAAGATTCATTGTAGAGACTGAAAGTTTGTCACATGCTGCAGAGAGACGCATTGAAGACATTTATTGTCATTCCACAGTGCTGGAGACTCCTAGATCTAACCTTTAATTGTGTTACTATGGACCTGGGGATTAAATCTGCTCAAGGAATAAAACATATCTGACAACTACTGTTTAGCTGCTACTTCATTCTGAAAGGCTTTAATCCAAAACATGGGTCTTTAACATTTCAGTTTTACAATATGATATAAAGTTATTGTATACTGAAAACCATCTGGGAAAACAGGAGTACTAACCCAAGTAAAAACAAAGATAGACTAATGGTATACTCAAAAGCAAGTGTGATGATGATCAACAAATATTTCAGCTGCATTATGGAGAAGCTGGGAAATCTTCCACAAGTACCAATTTATTCAGGGGTCTACAAATAAGTGTGTGTGTGGGGGGAGAAGGCTGCTTGGTTTTTATCTTTGTGATTTTTAGTGATGTAATAAAGGTATCACCTGTGCTTGCCTAAGGGTCTAAAATATTGGTCACTAGGACTAGTATCTCATTCTCTTCTAGTAAACCCTTCCAAAGCTAAAGAGTAACAAGAAGAGCTACCCTATACTTCTTCTTCTGAGCTTGAGAGTAGTGCATGCAGCCGCACTCTGCTCTGCACACAGTAAATGCTTCCTGAATCTCTGCAATAATGGAGCAACAGCCGCCTCCTCTTCCTCCCAAGTTTCAAACTTAGATAAGAAGAGAAGTTCATTCTGACCTTGTAGAGGTCTTCAAAAATAACCCAAGGGTTCTCAAAACTCAACATAATGACAGACAAGATACCACACCCACAGTGGGGATGAGAAATGTTTAGTCCTCCAGATGTTGACGGATAACAGCTCCCATCATCTCTTACTATGGGCTATGCTAGCTAGTGTTGAGTGTTCTTGCAGTACAATGACATTTGGAGGACATGCGTTTCCCACTACTGCTATAATGGGTGACATTCAAGTTTTGTCTGAATACCAGGACTAACCAAAAGGTTTGTGGACAAATATTTTATAATAATTAGTTATAAAGGGTGCTTAGTATTGTGGTAGCTAATGGACCCCCACCCCCAATGGCATGTTCCATGGATGATAACTTTGGGTCCAAAGATGTATCCAAAGATTATTAATTTCCTTAATGGCAGAACCCTGTGGAAAAGTAGTTTAACCACTTTAGCATGCTGCTCATGACCTGTGTTACATCATGATGGATTCAGATAGCCAGCTCAAGGTTGACTCAGCTTTCCGTCGTTCCAAGGTGGGTAAAATGAGTACCAAGCCCACTGGGGGGCAAAGTTGTTGTTTGCATTATCACAGAATTGCATAATTATTAGTCAAAACAGCAACACCCCAAACTGTTTTGCTACATGAGGCAGAACAACCCCTGTGCTCTCTGGAATCAATGTATGCTGAGCTTAATAGCAGGGAGTTCTGTCAGCACGAGACAGAAAGTCCTGCAACTATTTCTCCTTATCCCTAAGGAGAGAATATAAGAAACATAATAAAACCCAGCATTTGTGGCCGGCATAATTACCTATCCTTTTTGTAATGGCCTGAAAAATAACGAAGTAAGGAACTAATAATTTTCTACCCTTTAATGACACCCAATACCTGCTGATTGAGGTGGTAGCCTCATTCTGTCTAAATGCTTGCCCTATGCTCACTCTGTCTAAATGCCTGCCCTATGGAATATCAGTCTGGAGCTGGTGTATCTCACATTTAAACACCACCCCCTCCACCAAGACACCTTCTCTTCTACTAGCAAGAGCCAGTATAGTCTGAAAGGCAGCCATAGACATGCCATTCTGATCCTGCTCCCTTATAGCCTGTAAGATGCTCTGCCCCAAGCTTAGTCCAGCCCCACTAAAATAAAGGTACAGGTATTCTTCAATGCTGCTGAAATGAGCCAGATTTATATTCAAACTGCTCTGGGACCTACTTTAAAACATTTTAAGTTATTAGTTGATAATGCAGCATCTGAAAACAGTGCTATTGTGTTGTGTTGTGTGTGTTTTAGAGAACCTTACACAACTTCCACTAATAAAAAAACACCCTAATTTATCCTGATTTTCACCGAAAGATAATGAGTCAAGAAAGGGAAAGAGAAAGTGAAAAAGAGAGAGAGAAAGAGAGAGATGCATTTTGAGACACAAAAGGTGATTATTTCTAAGGTGACAATGTGCCACACATTCACTTGCCTCTGTCTCTGTCAGGGGAATATGTTATTGTTGCTGTGGAGGAGGAGAGGCGTTTATTGATAGGTGACTCCATTTGCTTTGGAAGATTCATTGTAGAGACTGAAAGTTTGTCACATGCTGCAGAGAGACGCATTGAAGACATTTATTGTCATTCCACAGTGCTGGAGACTCCTAGATCTAACCTTTAATTGTGTTACTATGGACCTGGGGATTAAATCTGCTCAAGGAATAAAACATATCTGACAACTACTGTTTAGCTGCTACTTCATTCTGAAAGGCTTTAATCCAAAACATGGGTCTTTAACATTTCAGTTTTACAATATGATATAAAGTTATTGTATACTGAAAACCATCTGGGAAAACAGGAGTACTAACCCAAGTAAAAACAAAGATAGACTAATGGTATACTCAAAAGCAAGTGTGATGATGATCAACAAATATTTCAGCTGCATTATGGAGAAGCTGGGAAATCTTCCACAAGTACCAATTTATTCAGGGGTCTACAAATAAGTGTGTGTGTGGGGGGAGAAGGCTGCTTGGTTTTTATCTTTGTGATTTTTAGTGATGTAATAAAGGTATCACCTGTGCTTGCCTAAGGGTCTAAAATATTGGTCACTAGGACTAGTATCTCATTCTCTTCTAGTAAACCCTTCCAAAGCTAAAGAGTAACAAGAAGAGCTACCCTATACTTCTTCTTCTGAGCTTGAGAGTAGTGCATGCAGCCACACTCTGCTCTGCACACAGTAAATGCTTCCTGAATCTCTGCAATAATGGAGCAACAGCCGCCTCCTCTTCCTCCCAAGTTTCAAACTTAGATAAGAAGAGAAGTTCATTCTGACCTTGTAGAGGTCTTCAAAAATAACCCAAGGGTTCTCAAAACTCAACATAATGACAGACAAGATACCACACCCACAGTGGGGATGAGAAATGTTTAGTCCTCCAGATGTTGACGGATAACAGCTCCCATCATCTCTTACTATGGGCTATGCTAGCTAGTGTTGAGTGTTCTTGCAGTACAATGACATTTGGAGGACATGCGTTTCCCACTACTGCTATAATGGGTGACATTCAAGTTTTGTCTGAATACCAGGACTAACCAAAAGGTTTGTGGACAAATATTTTATAATAATTAGTTATAAAGGGTGCTTATGAATAGAGGTCATCAGCAATACTGTTTAGCATCTTGGCAAAAGAAAGCTTTATTTCAAAACTTATTTTGGACAGAATAAATTTAAATATAGCTTAGTCTAATCTATTTTGGATGCACGCATTTCCTAACTGGTTCAAAATAATTATGAAATGGAATTGTTTATGTAACAAACATACTTTGCTGGCTGTATTTTGTTTAATATTAGAAGAGCTACTTTGAATATTTTCATGCAAACAAGCATTTGAGACACATGAACATCACAGGTGGGTATTAACTGAGCATTCTTGCAACTGAAATAGAGGCTTTATTCCCACCCACCCCCGGGCCAGGAAATCTCTCTAGGAGCCCAGAGATGGTGGTTCCAGTGCACTGAGTGAAATTTAGTTATGAGTCTGCAGCTCATTTATTTTGTCCCACAGAACTCCATGGGACCCACTTAGCTAAACGGGGCCTACCTACACAACTTTATCTATGGTCTCATGTCTTAGCTATGCTGAAATAATGTTTGAAGAGGGAGGCATTGCTCCCAAATAGAGCAATTATCCTTGGGAAGAATGCATCCCTCTTCATATTTTATCTCCACATACAGCCAGTCTGAAAGGACAAAAGGGCAAACCCACACTTCATGCAGTCTGTGTCCCTAACCCAAACACCCACACATTGGAAAGGTATATCTGAGCGAAGGAACTCTGCACAATTGTGATTCTAGTTCTGCAGAGACCTAGGCAAGTACTGTACGTTTCCCTAGGTTACATATCCATCGTGAATATGTAAATACTGGCTATGGGGCAACAGAGAACCTGCCCAACATTGGGCATGGCCCCACTACCCATTTCAGTGAACGAATGGAGCTACTCAAGTCAAGTGCTAGAAACTGGCATATAGTTGCAGGTGTATTCAACAACTGTTCATTTTCAGTGGAAAAATACACAGAAATCAGTAAACATTAAGTAATCTAGGCATATATGCATTATTGAAAAATTACAAAAAGGCAAGAGTTAATGTCACTCAGATTCAAAATTAACCTGCTAATTACGAAATAAATTGCTGCTATCTGTTACTTTCAGCACACTTGTAGAAGTAATCAATGGTGATGCCAAAGAGGAAGTCTGGCTTTTTGTTCTTTTAGAGAAGAGGTACATGACGTCTGAGGGGAAAATGGCAAGTAAGGAATTAATTCTGTGTGGTTATACTGCAGGACTGATATGTTTTAAAACCAGTTTTCTCTTCTACACATTGTTCATCTGTGGTGCCTACTCAAAAGGCACACGACATATATGACACATGGCATATGTGTCCCCCACACTTATATAAAGGTACATGAACACAACAGCTAGTTGGGAAGGTATCTGGAACATTACTATGATGTTTGAATGTCAGGCATGCATTGATACATTTTCACAAACTAAATAATCAAAACAATCAAAATGAAGAAAATATAAGGGACACACAGTAAAGCACACGGATGCAATTCACCAAGCTGTCCTGCCACTCCTTTCATTTCAACGAGATTTGCTGCATGCACTCAAAATCCATCTTTCCCAACCTAGTGCTCTCCCAGTGTTTTAGCCTATAACTCCAAGAAAGGCAGCCTGGTCATAGGATTAAAGGAGACGGAAGGTACAAGGTTGGCAAAGTTTGCTGTAAGAGGTGAAAGGACAGCAATGGTGCTTGGGTGGAAATGGACTCTTAATTTCCACCAGAGACTGCTGTCACAGGATCACACTGAATCAACAGAAACACAGCAGTTAGATGGGAGTGGTGAGGGAACGACAAAATTGGTGGATGCGTTAAAGTGATAAACGACACTATGTCTCTGTGAGTCTCTCAAATACCATTGGAGGGATCAGCAGCAGCAGTTGAGGCTGCAGAATCTGGAAGGGTGTTGGCAGCTAAACCTAGAGGCGGTGGGGTATTTTCGGATTCACCTACATAATAAAAAGAAATTAGAGCAAAGAGAGATGACAGATTACGTCAAAAGTATTAAAAACCCAGACAAGGCAAGAGAAATTTTAATCTCTCTGTTTCTGGAAGTATTAAAGAGATTGTCCTTTTCAGAATGCTCATTAAACTTTCTGTACAACTCAGAAAACGAATTACAATCAATAACTTCAGCTTTCACAAAGACAATAAATGTTAAGAGATCTGCTTCATCATTAAACAGAGGAAGGACGAGAGAGAAATTTCATTCAAAATTTATGGGGAAAGCTGATGAATTTAAACGCATCTGAATGATTTCTGTAAATAATAAAAGTGAATACATGGTTGCAGCTAAAATAATTTTGCTCTGAAAGCAAAGAAAGAACAGATAGAGCAAAAGGCAGAAAAATCAATGATCCTCTGTGAATTCTGCACAATCACTGAGAAGTCTCTTGAGCTTTGGGGAGTGCCTGAGATAAAAATAGATTATCTTCTGCGAAGTCATACAGAACTGACAGCCACGACACCATAATGGTTTATTCCACCAGCTTTATTTGCTCCCAATATATCTTCTGCACAGACAAACTTTGGTGCTGGATTACTTCTATGAAGATAATCAGGTTGTGAAATCAAGCAAGCAATAACAAATCCTTTTAAAACATGCAGCTCAAAAATATATATATCTCGTACACACACACACTGCAGCCTATTACCCAGGCTGTTTTGCATCTTTCTTTTTAATCCTGAGCATTTCCAGTCTGGAATCTGCAATGCAGCCACCCTGTTTTGCTCACCATCTCTGTCTCCTGAGCCTGCAGCCAGTGCTCCTCCCCATGACCATCTCTTCTGTTTCTGCTCGAGCTGCTGACTTCGTTCCATGGACCGCCGCATCATAGCTTCTAATCGTTCCTAAGCAATTATTCAGAAAAATAAAATGAAATGGAAACAGTCTAACCTTTCTTAAAGAACCCCTGCTCCAGAAAAGCACAGGGGTTTTCTTCTGACTGCACAAACATTATTCTGACTATACATATAGGTGGACTACCAAGAGTGCTAAAAGAAATGAGTCAGGCAAGCAGTGCCACATCCACTCACCTCCAGATATATGTATCCCTTTGTCTGCAGTCACTACTGAGGTCACTACAGAGGCTGAAGCTAATAACACAAGTTACATCACCTCCGAGCATCTGCTCCTGCTGGCAAGACTGCTGTTGTGGCTCTGTCTGGGCTTCATTTGTTTAAGAATAATGCATGAGAAGCATTAACTCTGTCATCTCGGCAGAGCTACGTTTTCCTCCTTCAGTGGCGAGACTCTGACGCTGCAACGAATCCTTCCAGCCACATGGAAATTACTTTTTTTACATAGGCAACCACCGCAAAAAAAACACTAACCACCCAATCCTGCTACATGACTGAGAATAGCATTTGGTTGTTTAATGTCACTGAGAAGGTTCATCATTTTATGGGTAGTGGGGTGGAAATCTGCAACTCTTCTCCCCCTTGGGCCCCCCCTCCCGTCACTTCATCTTATTGCATCCACAGCTGTTCCTTCCTAAAGCTCATTTCCAGTGCAGAGTCTCCATCCTGTTCTCCACTGACCTCCTTCCCAAGCAATTCTTTTTGAGCAGACGGCAACTCTGGGACATGATACAGAACTCTCAGTATCGCTTTTATATCCCCTGGATAGTACTTTTATTTCAAAAACTTGTTTATCCCTTGTTCAACTAGTGTTTTGTAACTGGACCATGGAAACAGTGAGCCAAATCCCTAGCCAGCCAGGAAGCTCACTGTCGCTATCAGTGTTTTATGTGTTTCATTTACGAGTCACCGTACAGCCAGAACTATCAAGATAACCTATGTAAAGACAAAGACGGTAAATCCAATAACATCATTTAAGAACAAAAGGGCATGATGTACCTCATAAGACGGTTACCAGAACAAGAGGAAAACATTTCATATTACCTTGACATAATTAGAATTTTTTAAAAAATGGTTAAGTTCTCACAACAAATGTGACACAGTTAATGAATTCTACATTTTGTTGACAGGAAACAGTGAAAAGGGGCTAATCTCAAGAGTCATTCAGTGTAATGTGATATGGTATTTATAGATCTGCAACACATGACACTGTGAACAGGAGATTGCAACTGGAGGGCAGCACTGTGCATGGTCACGACAAGAATGCCAGCCATTTATGAGGAGACGTAACAGCCTGCTTGCCATCCCAATTCCCCCCCCCCAAAAAAGAAAAGAAAATGCTGGAAAAAGCATTCTTAGCCTACGATAGCCTTTACCAGCCACTGCCCTTCAGATGTGTTTGACTACAGCTCCCATCATCCATAGCCAGCCAACTTTAAGCTGCAATCCGGGGCATCAAAGGGAAAGCAAGAGGCAAGTTCCTCATTTCTCCAAGTTACACAACAATGACAGATATGCTGTGTGTCCCCTTCCCCTGAGCTCATTGGACTAAAAATGTCTATTAAGGCAGTCACTATAACCAATAATGGGGGATGACAGAATCTAACAACTTGTGGAGGGTCACAAATTTTGCACCATGTGATATGACAATCATCCACCATTGCTCTAAGTCTTTTCAGGCTCTAATTGTCACCACGCAGCAATTTGCCTTACAGACATCTAGAGGAAGCCCTTCTGACATGAACTGGTGATTCATAGAAATTTGTGCTTCTTCTCCTTAATTTCCATATTTATAAATAAAGAAAATATTACAAAATCAAAGTTTTCAGTGCTTGCTCACTTTCCTCCAAAGTAAACCAAAACGCAGCATGCTTCTGCTGCCCTAGATGATCAAAGAAAGAGATAACATGCCAAAATATTGTAAAGAAAGTGGGCTGAATTTATATATTCCACCCCTTCCCCAGTTGTGTCCAGTCTACTTTGTGAAATCACAACATAGCCAAAGCTTGAAAAACATATGTTAAGAATTTTTTTTTAGGTTATTGGGGCTAAAATGTAATTTCTGAATGGGATTTGTAGTCATGGAACTGTGTAGAAGGAATCCATATTGGTCTGTGTTAGCATAACTAGATGCTTCGAGAAGCTGTTTTCTCTTAGAGCCAGTTGGAATTTTCCATGTAGCAAGCTTGGCCAGAGACGATAAGGGTCAAGACACAACATCAGGAAGATGGTCAACAACACTTGCACATCCCATGGGAAAAGGAGGTGGAGTGTGGAGAGACAGCCCTTCGTCCTGATTGGGTTACGTCACAGGAGAGTGAAGAAGAAGGGTGGTCCCAGTAGGGAAGAAAAATGGAGACTGAGACAGAGAGACAGAGTGATTTTTGATTTGGATTTTTTAATGGACTTTTGAGTTCCTTTCGCTATTTTTTAGTATTATGCTAAAATGTAGTTCAGAGTAAGGATATAGAAAGGGGGGCTGTGCCTTGCCTACCTTACAAGCTATTTTTAGAGTTTTTTTAATTTTATTTTTATAGCTGGAATTTGCTATAGTTCTAACTGCTTCGATTTATGGAAATGTACTTGAATGCTATGCTTTGCAACAAACTGAATATCTCTAAATACTTAATTTTTCTAATAAAACAATAATTTTTAAAATCTTATGTTTGGTCTCTTGAGCAACAAACCTGCATAATTATTTTTAGGCCACAAATACGCTACTTGAGTCCGTTAATTGCTTGAGTTTTGTTCGTCTTGGCAGACTCCAAAACTCATGATTCTTATCTTGGTTTTAGACTCCAAAACTCATGATTCTTATCTTGGGTTTTTTTCTCTCTCAGTTAATTGCTAATTTGAACAGACTTGGGAAAAGGAGCAAGTGGGATTGCCTGGCTGAGTACCGGACTCAGCTGGACTCCAAAACTCATGATTCTTATCTTGGGTTTTTTTCTCTCTCAGTTAATTGCTAATTTGAACAGACTTGGGAAAAGGAGCAAGTGGGACTGCCTGGCTGAGTACCGGACTCAGCTCAGCTGATTTAGGAGTACGCTTGCCCTTGGAACCTCTCTGTTCAGGCCACAGAAATCTCTTAGGAGACCGTGTGTTGACATTACTAAGTGGGGTGATGATGTTACTATGAAAAATAATTTATCAATCCGCCATGCTGTTGACTTTTTTGGGGGCCATAAGTATTTCAGATCATTATAGGGGGATAATTGGGAGAGCATTTTACCTTTTGGACTTCTTTAACTTTTCAGTGGCTTGAGAAAAATAATTTAAGTAGTAATGGGATAGCAATAGGATAGTAATGAACAATATTACTTGCAAGTCTCCAGCAATAAATTTCTTTTCGAAAGCAAGCAAGACTAATACAGCCAGCCTTTGCTATGGCATTTCTGAGAACACCGTGTTGATCAACAGGTGGCCCACCTCTTCTTCTCTAAGTTTCTGTCTTCTTTTTTCTTCAACGGCGGCTCTTTTTTGCTCTTCTCTCTGTCTCTGTTCCTCCAGCTTCCTCCATCGTTCTTCTATCTGCTTTTCATACTGAAGCTTTGCTCTCCTTTCTTTTTCTAAGATTTGTTGTTCTCTTGCAGCTTATATAAAAAAATCACAAAAGAATTATCTTACGTTGGTATTGTACATGCTAAGAGTGACCTACATTTTTCAAGTATCATTTCTCATGTAGCTTAAGGCATTGTCCACCCACAAGATTAAGGTGCCACTAGGCTTGTGGAAATACAGTATGCACTGAAAGAATATGCAAAAAACATAAAACCCTTTAGGGAAAAAAATTATCTTAAGGCTGGGTAGGGAGGTAGGTGGAACACTACCAGCCCAGGATAATTTGATAGATGAAGCATCTCAGATAGCTGCATTGAGGTCAAGCATGCTCTGTGTGCACAGAATGTTGTTTTCAAGAGAAGATACAGGAACTTGGGGAGAGGGAGGAGGAATGGAACAGCAATACTCGACCGGGGTAACCTGAGCACTCTATATGGCAATGTTTCATAACATATTCTGCTTAGAGCTCGTGGGTCTCAGGGTGCCAACTGCTACACTTCCCCTGGTCCCTGGGCAGGGAAAGAAATCCAATAAAGTTCAATTTCTGTGTGTGAGGTGACTTGAAAGCAGGCATGAGTAAAGAACAGCTCACAGATCAGAAGTGTTCTTCCTGTGAACCTCAGTATGGCTCCTAAAATACCACAAAAAGAGTGCTTTAAAGCCTTAGAGCCCATCATCAGCTACTTCCAGATGGTGCCAGTGCTCAATGGCTCATCACAACACATACAAAACTAGCCGACCTACACAGAGCTAGTGCATCAAAAATCGGGGGGGGGGGGGGGGGAGAGCAGGACTGAGATGAAAAACAGTGGTTGCAGGCACTTGGCCCCATCATGACATTTTGGAGCAAGGCTGGGAGAGAAGCACCAGCATTGTGACTCATGAGCATTTGGCAATGCAACACATGGCATAGGAAAAGTAATCACCTAGCTGATTAGCAAGAAGCAATTCTGCAAACCTAGCAAAATTTTATTGATGACTTCTTTCAAAAGCCTGGAAAAACTCCCTTATGTCTTGAGGGAAAAGAAACAATGAATGAGAATGGAAGCAACTGCTGCAGCTGCTGGACTCATTTTGCCAGCTGCCCTATCAAGGTCAAAGTTATGACACTCAAACACTATAAAACTTGATAGTTGGTAGTTTGAATCTGTGGTGGTCCATAAAGGATTTCCCGTTTCTTTGATATTGTTTTAGTTATAGAATTAGTAATTAATAGGATTAGAAATGATAAACGAATAAGGGGTATAGGTTTTAAGGATAAAACTAAGATTATTTTATTTGCTGATGACACATTAGTAACGATAGAAGATTAAGGTTATGGCTCAAGTTAAAATGCAAGAATTTGGGGGAGATAACGGCTTTACAGATAAAATGGTATAAATCAGAAATAGTGTTGTTTAACTGTAAGAGGAAAAGAAAATAATTAGGAATAAATTTGAAATCAAGATGTGCAGTAAATTTGATTTAGGTATAAATATTACAAAATATTACAAAAAATTGCAATGTTTGAAAAAGAAATTTTTTGATAAACTGAAAATTAAGGAGAAATTGAATGAATTTAAAAAGATTGGACTATTGTGTTTTAGTATAGTATTAGCAGCATTTAAAATGAAAATTTCACATTATTATTTTTTTTGTTTATGATATTACTTGTTTATGATGTTACTTTTGTTTATGATGTTACTTATTAAGATAATAGTACAAGAGTTGAAAGAATGGCAAAATATGATTAATAAATGTAATGTGATTTTAAAAAGCAAGGATCAATTTTAAAAAGTGGCATGAATTACAAAAATTAGGAGATTAAATCTTCCCAATATAAGGTTATATCATATATCAAATCAAATGAGACATGTGGTAGATATTATATTACAACCCAGCAATTTAATATGGGTAAAATTAGAATTTCAACAAGTTGCAGGATTCTTGGTAGAAATTTTTAAAAAACAAAATAATATTGTATTATTAAAAAGACAGAAAACCCCTTTCTTAGGAATATGGTACAAATCTGGAATAAATATAGGAAAATACTTATGCCATCAATTTCACCATTACATCCAGCAACAGAACTAGAGAGTTTTCCAGGAAACTTGTGAGGAAATTTGAAAAACAAATTAAAGAACACAGGTTATTAGGTTGAAAGATTAGTTGGAGAAGATAAATAATAGTGAACAGGTAAGGGTGGTATTAGAAGGGCATAAAATAACCTGGCTTAATTCAATCCAATTAAAACAAATGTGGTAAGCCGCCCAGAGACCTTTGGGTAGTGTGGCTGGCATATAAATTAAACAAACAAACAAACAAACAAACAAACAAGAATGGTAAATGTAAGGATTTTACAAAATTTAAAGAGATGCTAGTACAGAAAGAAAAACAAGATTACATGCTGATGAAAGGGTTAACAAAAATTATTAGATATTATTAGAAAAGAAGGATCACAATATGATGCTCTTAAAGCATCATGGGAAACAGATTTGGGAAGAGATATAAATATTGAGAAGTGGAAGAATATAAGCCAATATTAAATGTATGTTGGTAGAATAAAAGAATTATATAATTTAGTTTGGAAATAGCATTTAACACTGGTGAAATTTAACTGTATGGTTAATATATATTCTAATATATGTTGGGGGTGTGGCCAAAATGAAGGCACTTATTTTCATATGTGGCAGGAATTTGAAAATATAATGAAATTTTGGAGACTTTTTTAAAAGAAATTAATAAAATACTGAAGTTAAATATAGAAGTAACCTCTAAAATAGCACGTTAATCAATATTTGACAGAAAACAACGGGATTGGACCATGAAAGTATTAACAACAAATTTACTAACAGCTGCAAGATTAATGATAATGAAGAATTGGAAAGTGAAGTATGGTTTTCATTTAAGTGACCGACATAAAGAAGTGTGGAATATAGCTATTAAAGATAATTTAACTTGAGATATTAAGGTGAAAAAGGGGTTGACAAACAAGAATTTTAGTGTTATTTCGGGAATTTTTATTATGTATTAATAGAGAGGAAGGGTTGTGCACCATCACAAGATTAAATGCAATTCTGGAAGGAGAGTGGGGCTTCCTCAATGAAAAAAATTATTACCATATCTCTAATGATTCTGCTGAAGAGGTTCATTGTTCTTGTAAATGTATTGTTTATGAGAAGTCACAATCAAGTATCTTTCAAAAACATTTTTACAGCTATGAACAAAACTGTAGGTACAAAGGCTTATATTATCTAAAAGTCATCCAGAATTCTTATAATTATGAAAAGCTACAAACTGAAGTACATTCAAAATACATACTGTACAGCAAAACTTAAGTTGTAGACAAAACTTAGATCATGTCATAATCATGTTCCAAAATCACATGAGCATAAAAATGCAATGGAAATATATGTTAAGAATAAAAAAGTGCAAAGAGAATGTTTTAAGAATATTCTAAAAATGCAGGAGCTCATAGCCTAAAAAGAAACAATCAAAAAGCAGAGAGTACAAATACCAAAGTTCTTAAAAGTAAAAATGCATGAACATAAAATACATTTCTTAGCCTTTAAGCATATCCAGATACACAGGAAAATACTGCAACTGCTTAGCCAGCCATCCGCCAGTTTGAATCTATGGAGGAAAATCCACTGAACATAATTATACATACTGTACAGCAAAACTTAAGTTGTAGACAAAACTTAGATCATGTCATAATCATGTTCCAAAATCACATGAGCATAAAAATACAATGGAAATATATGTTAAGAATAAAAAAGTGCAAAGAGAATGTTTTAAGAATATTCTAAAAATGCAGGAGCTCATAGCCTAAAAACAAACAATCAAAAAGCAGAGAGTACAAATACCAAAGTTCTTAAAAGTAAAAATGCATGAACATAAAATACATTTCTTAGCCTTTAAGCATATCCAGATACACAGGAAAATACTGCAACTGCTTAGCCAGCCATCTGCCAGTTTGAATCTATGGAGGAAAATCCATTGAACATAATTACAACATGATTTATCAGTGGTTCTTAACCTTTGTTACTCAGGTGTTTTTGAACTGCAACTCCCAGAAACCTCAGCCAGCAGAGCTGATGGTGAAGGCTTCTGGGAGTTGCAGTCCAAAAACATCTGAGTAACAAAGGTTAAGAACCAGTGGATAATGCCTACAACTACAGTTAAATTCTGCCTACAGTTTTGCTGTATATATTTTCAGTGTACTTCTGTTTGTAGCTTTTCATAATTGTGAGGATTCTGGAGGACTCTTACATAATTTAAGCATTTGTACCTACAACTTTCTTCATTATCTGTTCTGTTGCTGCGGCTATATGTTGCCTGATAGTTGCTGGGCTGTCAATGCTCCTTGCTGCCTGGTGCCTATAATCTGTGTTGTTGGTATCAGGGGTGTGTGAGTGAGACTGTGTCCTTCTCTCTCTCTCTCTCTGTGTGTATGTGTGTGTATTTCCTATTTCCTTATTTCTTTATTTTCTCTTCAACTGTTAACAATTCAGGCTTCCTACTTTCTATGGAAATTTAGATTACTTTTGCTAACTCAGCAACCTGTGATCTTAGTAAATTATGGTGCCTTACACAAAAGAACAAGCCACTTACACAACTGCTATTTGAAGGTAAATTGAACAAGATACAGGCCAAACCATTTAGACTATGATAAAAAGAGAAGAACAGTATACAAACCAAGGTTTTTGCCTGCTTGCATGTGTTTTGTTCTGTTTAAGAAGACAAGCATATATTCACAGAGTCATGGGCGTGTATATACAAATACACACCAGGAGATGACTAATAATTCAAGCAGTCAAATGATTCAGTTGTTATGATTTATTAGCTGGAACATTTGATTCAAAACTGAGAACCACATCAGAGTTTGAGTAAACCTTTCTTCAGATGTCCAAGTTGCTAAAGGAAGACGTCCATCCAAGATGGACTGAAAACTACAGCACTGAACCCAAACGAGAGACACTTCCCTTCTCCTTCTGGGTGGTAGTGGCTTGCTTTCTGTATTTTCAGACCTGATTATAACCACAGTCATTGAGAGCAGCAGTTCTCCTCCTCCTCTTTCAGTAAGACTGGAACTGCTACCACCTGCCAACAGACTGGAAGGTCAAGATGCAGTTAGCCTGAAGCTGTTGGATGGAAGAGTTCCTAAACTGCATTTGTTCCCGCACAGAATCTTCCAAAGCCAATCTATTCTAAAGAGACGAGCTAGGCTGGACATCTGAGGACAAATGGCATATGGATTGAGGGCTTCTACACCCAAAGAGAATAAGCCAACTTACCAAGATATTTTTCCCTTTCTTCTCTTCTTTCTCTGGCTAGTCTTTGCCTTTCATCAGTTTTCAGAAATCCATCCACAGCTAATAGGAAAAAAAGGGGAAAAAACTGTAGCAAAGCCACAAGTGTCTTAAAATGCCCATAGTAACTAGCATCAAATCTCCACTGAGATATGCCATTTGATGTATGCTGATGCATGCAAGTAATAGCATTCTGCCCACCTTTCTAAGAAGCATCTTACTAGAAGCTGAGTTTAAATTGTATAAATTTTTGTGAAGGGAATTTATTTTTATTGCTTCTATCTATCTATCTATCTATCTATCTATCTATCTATCTATCTATCTATCTATCTATCTATCTATCTATCTATCTATCTATCTATCTATCTATCTAATCTAATATGCCGCCCACTCTACCCAAAGGTCTCTGGCCAGCTTATAACAACTGAAATACAATTAAAAGATAAAACGATTAAAATACAATTAAAATAGATACTCTAAAAATTGCCATCAGGACCCATGGTTGATGTTATTTCAATTAAAAGCCTTTTGGAACAGGAAGGTTTTGACCTGGTGCCAAAATGTCATCAGCGTCAGCGCTAGATGAATCTCGGTCGGGAGGGCATTCCATAGTCTGGCGGCAGCTGTCAAAAAGGCCCTTTGTCTACCAGCTGCCCCTCTTACCTCTTTGAGGGACGGCTCTTTCAAAAGGGCCCCCTGGCTAGACCTTAACTGCCGGGTAGGCTCATATGCAAGGAGGCGGTCCTTCAGGTATCCAGGGCCCAAGTCGTTTAGGGCTTTATATGTCAAAACAAGCACTTTGAATTGAGCCCAGGCAGCAACTGGTAACCAATGTAATTTAATCAGAATCGGC